CTAAGTTAGGATTGCTGCCTTCTTTGGTGAATGGAGGGTTCATTTGCCTTTAACAGTTATGTAGTGGACAGAAATTGCAGCTGGCCCTAACATTAGGCAGAGTGAGGCAGCTGCATCAGGTGGCAGGTGCTGGGTGGTGGCAGTGAGGTGTTGGACAGAGCCATGTATCCTACTTTGCAGAAGACGGTCCTCTATTTGAAAGTATCCTGGCTCCCACTCAAAACACTCACAGAAGCTCTTACATTTGAGTAACAAAGAGATCTTTATCGAGGGAAGTGTACATTCCCATATGCCAAATACGTATTTTAAATGAGATTGATGCTAATAAGTCACAGAAAGGGCAGTTTTGTCCCCAGATCTTTGAGTAGTAGTTGGTGGATATACCAACATGCAGCCTTGCAATATACAGTAAGGCTCTTGGCTATTGTAAGGGCTTGTAGAATTCACATTTGTTGTCTGATTTTGCACTTGCAGAGTAGGATGTAGGAAGGTGATTTATGCCAAGTCAGCCCAATGGACCACTAGGTCACTATTGTCTACAGTGATGGGCAGTGGCTGTCCATGATTTTGGGCAAAGGTCTTTCCTAGCTCTACCTTGAGATGGAGTTTAGGACCTTCTGCCACTGAGCTGCATCCTTTCTGTACAAAGGCTATGTGGAATTTACATAGCACCGTATATGTATTGCTAATATACCCAGTTTAGAGTAGAAGGCGTGTGGGTGTGGAGTGTCTACGTGCATTCTCACCTGGAAGATCAGTTTGACTCTGCCCGAAATCGCCAACTCTCATCTCACCATCCATTTGCTCTCTTCATCTTTTCCATAGTTTTAAGTAGTGCCTTTTTTCTGGGGGAATGCAGGGGTATGCATACCCCTAAACATTTTGTGAATCTAAGTTTGGCCTCATTGAGGGGCAGTATTTCAATATGAGTAGGAAAATGAGAGTACCCCAAAACATTTTTTTTAGAAAAAAGCGCTGGTTTTAAGCAAACAATTCTGCCCACACCTGATCCTCCCCCCCTAAAAAATGACATAGTAATTTCATCCCCTGTCACTCCTGAGTGATCACCTGGTTATTGGGAGCTGTTTTTCCAAGATGCATTAGCAGCTCTGAGAAGAGTATTTCAATGGAGGAGGTAGCATTATAAAAGGATCTTGGCTGTACTCATTACAGTTTCATCTGAAGCACTCAGACTCTTCCTTTGTATAAATTCATCATCTTTCACTGTTAAAAAAAAAACTTCCAGCTATCATTAGAACCATTTAAATAATCATATCAATAATTTAGCATCAATAGGTTTTTATTTCAAATTACAGTTTTGTTACCGCTGCTAAAATCCGATTACAAAAGTAGCGGGAGTTCTGCTGCTTCTTACCCAGAATTTTAAAAACAATTTATCCCCCCCCCACCTCATAACACTTGGTTTCATCCAACTAAGTCCTACGACGCATTGACCCACTGAAATCAATGGCTGCAACTAATTTGCCCGTTGATTTCAATGGGTCTACTCTGCACAGCTCTCAGTTGAATGCAACTGTATGTTTTAGCAGATTATCTGCTGAAGTGAGGTAAATCTGGAATACAATGCAACTGAGTTCAGTTTTGACCTCCATAGTGCTTTGTGATGACCCCAACATGCTTTCCTAACAACAACAACCTGTAGAGGAAAATGACATCTTGTGCTGTGATAATTGAGCATCAACAATGCTTAAGAAAATAAACTGTAGACCACAGAAAATGCAGTTCCTTGGTTAAAGAGTAAGCACCAGGAAATCCGCCAACGTTCTGTTCTGGGGCTTTTGTGTGTACTCTGGAAATGCATGAGTGTTGATTGTTACTTGGGAGGGACCATTGTGTACTTTTAGATAGGTAAATGCAAAATATTCAAAAGAATAACTTAACTCCTGCCACATGGAATGATTTCAGATGGAAAGGGTAAGTTGGCTCTCTGACTGGACTCAGGGCTTTATGTGTTTTAATGTATCTTCTTGCACATGGCTGATGAATTTTTGTGAGGGCTGGTTATTTATTTATTTATTCATGACCTTCTGCATTCAAAGCAGATGCTCTACCACTGACCTACAGCCCTCCCCATGTAGGAGCTATAAAGTTCTTCTTATATGGGCTGGGATTTGGAGCAACAATAGCTGGCTCTTCTGTGTTTGGGGGCATTTCTTAGTTCTTACTCCCTGGTACACCTCTGAAAGTAGCCTTGGCATCAAGCTACAGTGGGAAACTCAGACACAGGAAGCTGCTTTAAACTGAGTCAGACCATTGGCCTGTCTAACCCGGTATTGCCTACAAGCAGGGATGGCAACCTGTGGCCTTTCAGATGATGCTGGACTACAGTTCCCATCAGCCTCTCTCAGCATGGCCAGTGATAAGGGATGATAGGAGTTGTAGTCCAACAACACATGGGGTGCCACATGTTCCCCATCCCTCATCTACACTGAATAGCAGTGGCTCCCCAAGCTTTCAGAGCAAGTCTTTCAAGACCAGGTATTGAATCTGGAACCTTTTGCATGCAAAGCAGGTGCTTGACTAGTGAACTCCAGCTGTTCCCTAAGCTGACTTGCCCAACATCATCAGGTAGAGGTGGCACTTGAGTCCATGTCTGTCAGGATCAGATCCACCACATGAAGCTCATTTTATAATGAGGAATCAAATCTTATGAAAATCTCAATTCCAAGCTTTTCTTTACAGGTCTTTTTTAATTTCTCTCTCGCTGCTTGAACTCAGCAAGAAGCAAATAATTTTTGTTCCAGTTCTACTAAGAATGGAAACAATTATTGGATATCATGTGCATTATCACACACATTTTTATGTGTATGATTACACACATTATTATCAGAGGCTGTTCTTCTTTACCTGCCGTCCATTCATTGAGTATTCCTGAGATCTTGAAAGATCAGTTGCAAAGCTTGGAGAATGGAAATGGTATATGTATTTGGGTTGTGCACTGGATTCAAATGAGGTCCAAATCCTGGACCATATTGGGTTCATTTGGAGGAATGTGGGTTGCAGTTGAGTTGGGCTGGGGTAGCTCAGAACAATCTGGGGATAGTCAGGAGGTGTGGTGTCAAGCATGAAGAAGGAGAAACCAGAAAAGGAGGGATCTACCTGGTGGCCACATACGATATGATAATCTTTATTGTCATTGTCCCATGCAGAACAATGAAATTGAAAAAATCTACACCAGACATTCAAAAGCCAACAAGCCTGCTATCCCAGCTATCCCAGCCTGGTTAGCCCCCTAAAAACTCTGATACTCCATAATTAAATACAATATACACCCATAGAGAAGATAGATGTAGGTATAGGTGGATACCTTCACCTTCCAAACTCTCCTTTTTCCTCCCAGGTCTCCCCACCCCTGAAGCAGAACTGTGCAAGATCAGATCCTCCCACTTACCAGTTGGGTATCTCTGATCATGCATGTTTCCAGTTGCTGGTTGCTGCTCATTTCATGTGTACTCTTTTTGGGAGGGGAGGAAAAGGAGGTGCAGCATCTCCTCCTTCCCCTCCTGATTGTGTGTTAAAAGAGGGTATTTTGTTGGACACAATCCTACTGTCATTGGAAGGGCATCTGAGGGGCAATAGGATAGACTGGACCTTCCTCTGAATGCAGAAAGCAGGGCTGACTGATGCCCACTGGAACTGGTAGGGTGGAAGGCAGGGAGGTCAAGAGTAGATTGAGCCAGAGCCGGTGACAGGTGGAGTCAACTCATTCTATCTTTCCCGCTCATTCTCCTCCCTGCTGAGTTCTACAAGTTCTACACAGAGGAGGTTGACAGGCAGTTCTAGGCTGGTGGGAGCCGGCTGAGGGCAGACTGAGGTTGGTGGGGCAGTGTCCTGTTCCCCTAGTTGACCTACGCCCTGTGAGTGCAAAAATCTGGACTGCACTTGCCATTTCCCTGTCTGTGATCTGATAGTGCCAACAGGAAAAAGGGATGTTATGAAGGGGGGGGGCATGGACTGAGGGAGGTTTTAGATCATAAAATGGTAGAGTTGGCAGGGACCCTGAGTATCATGTAGTCCAACCCCCTTCCAAGCTCCAAAGCCTTCCCATTCTCCCAGCATGTCCCCCAAAATTGGGGGAGAAAGTACAGCAAATGACTGTTTTAGGTGTGTGTACAACTGCACCCAAAACATCACAAAAAGGGACAGGAGCAGAATGGGGTGTTTGCAGGCTTTTTCAATGGTGTTTCAAATATACACAATTTCATGTAAATACATGGTGCCTTGGAATGCAAACCCCATATAAACAGGGAGATGCCTCTACACTAGATGGGGGGCAGGATTGGAAGGGGTAAAGCAGGGATGGGGCCTATAAAAGCACCTTCAGGCTTTGGATTTTTGTTTATTGTTAATTTTTTGTTACTGCTCAAATTATGCTGTTATTATGCATGACAAAAAATCCTTCAAATTTATTTATGAACAGAAAGTTGTAAGAACAAAAGAGCTTGCTGGCTTGGGCCAGTAGCCCACCTTGTCCACCATCCTGTTCTCACAGTGGCCTCTGGGACTCCCACAAGAAATGACCTGAGCACAACAGCACTCTCCCCTTCTGGGGTTTACAGGAACTGGTATTCAGAGGCATACTGCCCCCGACAGTGGAGGCAGAACATAGCCAGTAGGATTAGTAGCCAGAAGAAGAAACAGGGAAGAGAGGAAGGAAGGAAGGAAGGAAGGAAGGAAGGAAGGAAGGAAGGAAGGAAGGAAGGAAGGATTCTGTGACTGCAGAACCATGGAATGCATGCACAACCTCCATTCTTTAATGGCACTCATTTGAATTCTGGTCCACTTTGCATCTGGTTTTGACTCAGTAGTTTGAAAGTTGATGCAGGGTCACCTTCAAAGTCAGCTGAGTCTGGCTTGAAACATTCCCCCTGCCTGCCTGCCCCCTTTCACATTTCCCCATGACTGCACTCAGCAATGTTCATTTCTACAGCTGACGCTGTATCATTGGGCTATGTGCCACCCACCCCTGGCATGGAATCTAGTCTAGCCGGTTTGCATTAGCCATGTGATGTAGAGTAAACTCTGGTTTAGAAGCTTATTGCCTCAGTCAATATTTGCAATCGCTTTAGGGAGGGAAGTTTTCTTTTACTCTCTCTATCTCTCTCTCTTTAAAACAGCTTTGACTGACGCAAAAGTCCCCAAGCCCCCTCAAAATCTCCGTAAATGCTGATGGGTGTGCCTCACTCACCTCCTCTTCCACAGATGTTTCCGGCTTCGAGAAGAGCTGAAAATGAAGGACAGGTTAGAGGAGCTCAGGAACAGAGTGAACGAAGACGGGGACTCTCTGGATCTAGATGACACTCTCTCCTTCGACAACCCTATTTTCCAAGAGGAAGAGGGCAATCCCATGAACAAGGTTTTCCAGGAGATAACCAGTCTCTCCTTGGCACTGAATAAGCTGGAAGAGTTATCTGAGAACATCGACAAGAAGCAGCAGCAGGTGCTTTGCTGCACTACCGAGGAAAGCATTTGCAGGGAGAAAAAAGAGCTGAGTGCAATCAAAGACTCTTTCACCCAGGAGGCCAAAACCCTGCAGCCGAGGCTCAACAGCATCCAAGAGGCTCTCGCCAGGGACAGCAAACAGTGGCTGGCCATTAGCCGCATACGCCACATCCAGCTCTCAGCACTTGTTGGCCGCTACCGTGACATCATTGCCCACCACTACGCCAAGGAGACACAATATGTGGAGAAGCTGAAGGAGCAGATCAGGAGGCAAACGGAACTGGCTGGCTTGGATCTTCAGGAAGAGGACATCAAGCGGATGGTGGAGAGTCCTGTGGTGCCACGCATCGTTGGCCAAGACTTGGAAGTGCTCAGAGCCAAGCAGCATCTGGCCTTGGCGCAGGTGCGCCACCAGCAGCTGCTGGACTTGGAAGTACAGATTGGCGAGTTGCACGCTCTCTTCCTGCACCTGGAGATCCTGGTTGCAGAGCAGCAGGAGACCATCAACAGCATCGAGTACAATGTCCTGCATACCCTTGATTACATCTCTCAGTCGAACGAGGAGGTCAAGAAAGCCCTCAAATATGAGCGGCAGTCACGGTTATCTGCTGCGTTATCTGCGGTGCTGGGCCTCTGCGCTTGCTGCACATGTCTATCGTGTATGGCGACTCCGAGTGTGATGAGCTGAATAAAGAAGTGTGGGCACGCAGACATTTTTTCCTAGACTTAACGGCTACCACTGGTGACTAATGATAGCACTCTGGAACATTGGATGTGTATGTCATTGCAGGTCAGTCCTGGATAGTTGCTTGGGGTGGATGGAAGCATTTGCAAGGCAACTAAATGCATCTTGCTTATGGATTCTGCCAAGTTTTTTTGTTCTGTTCTTAAGAGCATGGAAAGAGGCCTGCTGTGGATGCTTTTTTCTGGCCAGCATCCTGTCTCCAGCCCCACACAGCTGAATGCTTCAGGGAAGTAGACAGGCATGACGTGAAGATGATGCAACAACAATGAAAAGGTGTTCATTTCTTCAACTATGTCTGCAGGAACATAGAAACCTGTCTTCTACTGAGTTTGACCATGGGTCCATCTAGCTTCATAGTGTCTATGTTGACTGGCAGGGGCTCTCCAGGATTCCAGGCAAGGTTCCTTCCCAGTCCTATCTGGAGATGCTGGGGATTGAAGATGGGACCTTCTGCATGCAAAGCAGGTGCTCTACCACTAAGCCGCAGTCCTTTCGCAAACAGCTCTACTGTCTCCCAGCTAAGAGGAGTTAAAGCCCAGAAAGGCAGTAGAGGTCAAACCAGCCCAGAGGCCAAATCTTCTGATGAACAACACTTGAATCATAATCCCAAATGCATCTGAAAGGAAGGTACTTCTGCATATCCTCATAACACTCTCTTCTTTTCCATGTTTTCTGTGTTCCAAATGGAGACTTTGGAAATGTAGGGCTAGCCCAGTAATGCAGCAGGAGCCATAAGTGACCTGCCAGGAAGGGGGATTAGAGGAAGGCAGGAATCAGTGCATCCAGAGTATTAGCCCTATCTTGGGGTGGGGGTTGGTGGAGGTTGCACATTTGCAGTTTGCTCCGCTTTTCTTGGGCTGGCACTATGAAAACAGGTTCTGTGGCATGTCTCAACTCTGCTGAAGTCTAGCTTCAGTGAAACTGGAGATTACTGAAATATGTATAGTTCAAAAGAAAGTTGTAGACTGCCATAATTCACCCCCCCCACGACATCTTCCTTCCTCATTTTTTGCATAACAGAGTTGCCACAAATTCTCCCAATGTGTCCATGGTTAGAATGCATTACCACCAGTGGATGCCCCTTGGACAAGTGACTCCCCCCTCACCAGGAGGGTCTTCTCAGTGGGCCCTGCTGCTAGGGTGTGTGGCCCATGGTACTGGCCCTGATCCCATAAAAAGAAAGTAAGGGATCCCCCCTGCCCCACCTGTAAGACGAGGTCATTGCACCATTTGGAACAAAGAAGAAAACCAAAAACATCGTTTGGTTTACTGGCTTTATTTCCTAGATGCTTAAATTGATCATGTGTTTTACATCCTGGCTCCATTCAGTTATGATTTCAAATGGCTTCTGGTTGGTGTAATTTGGAATAACCTACAGTATGAATTAAGGGTGTTAATGTTTACATAAGAAGGCAATGTGTGCATGCATGTAATATATCTATATATATATATCTATGTACTTGTATACATGCACATTACATAAGTATTAATATGCATGTGTATATAAATTTGTATAAAATCATCTTACACAATTACGCAGGTCTTCATACTTTCATAAGGTGTGGGGGGAGGGGGGGCTTAGAGGAAAAGCCATAGGTAGTGGCAGGGCACAAGCCTTGCTTGCAGAAGGTCCCTGGTTCATTCCATGCCATCTCCAATTAAAAAATGAGCAAGCAGTGTGTGATGGAAAAAGACCTTTCTCTCTGCCTGAGATGGTGAAGAGGGGCTGTCAGCCAGTGTAAACAATACCAGACAAATGGTCTGTCTTAAGGCAGCTTCCTATGTGCTTGCCAGGAGTCTAAAATAGTTTTCTCCACCTGCAGTCTGAAGCGGCAAATTTATTATCCTCCTTATTAACCAGTTTTATGCACCACCCTTCATAATGTCAGCAATCCTAGGGCTTTCCCCAAAATATAATTCAACTAAATTGTCTACAAATTTGTTGCTTTAAAAGGGGGTGGGGAGGAAAGGTGAAGTTAGAATCCTTTCTTGTATTTCTGCACAATAGTGAATAGGTGAGATATGAAGTTTTGTTTTTCTGAACTGGGATTCAGATTCAGACCCAGTCCCGATGGTCAGCTTCCAATGAACTTCAGGATGAAAAAGGGCCGCCACCCCCAAGGGGCCATACTGGGGTCTGAACAGAATTTTGCGGTTAGTGCACATTCATATATTTTAATGAATTTATTATTGCACTTAATATCCAGCTTCTCCTCCAAGGAGCTTAAGGTGGCATACAGAGTGCTCCTCCTCTCCATTTTATCCTCTTAACAACCCTGTGAGGTAGGTTAGGCCGAGAAAAGGTGAATAGCCCAAAGTCACCCAGTGAGCTTCATGGCAAGGTCACTTTAACCATTGCACAGCATTGCCCCTCTCTGCAAACAGGAGGGTTGGGGAGGGGAGGCTTACTAAGAGGAGAGTGTGTTCTGCAGCCTGGGCCAACCAGAGACATTTTGCTGTCTGAGATGACATCCTCATTCAGCATGCAGAAGCTGACCATACTGTTTTACAAAACAGCATCCCATAATGTTTGGGAATTTTTAGTTTACAGAAAAGGTGTCTGAGAGGCAACATGATAGAAGTTTATAAAATTATGCATGGCCTTGAGAAAGTGATCGGAGGAAAGTTTTTCTCTCGCTCTCTTAACACTAGAACTCAAGGACACACAGTGAAGTGGAATGTAGGAATGTAGGAAGACAGACGGATACCAACAATTTCACTTTTATTTTGCCCGTTTGTTTTTTTAAAACGAACAAAATTGTTTTAGGTTATGAAAAAGATGATTGTTTTCCTCAGATGCAAGCACTTAATGCTAACTCTCTGAAATCAAATGGAAATATGGAAAAGGTGACTGAGTGGAAACTGAGGTTTGGACAAGTGAATGCCAGTATGTCTTTTTTTAAACAGGTTTGTTACAAAGCACAGGGTTCAAACAGCACTGCTATCTTGAAGACAGAGAAGTACAGCTGCAAAGAGCCAGAGGCAATTTTTCTGTGTTTCACTGTCCACTATGTTAATATGACACTCAAGGCTAAACTCCCAGTATTAATAATAATACTAATACAGATGGTAGGTGGGTTCGTGTGCCTGATAAATATAAACAGATTCTGCTTTGGATGCAGAGATGTTTTAATTAGTATGTATGTGTAAGCCGCTGCGAACTCAGATCTGCAAGAACAGAACATAAGAACTGGATATGCATTCAGCAAGCTGGGGAGAATATCAGCTTTCATTTACTCCCTGGCCTGGCCCCAAATTCTAGTCCTCATGTCTGCAATGGGAAGCCTAGTAAAATCACAGAAGCAATGATTGCGGGGGCGGGGAGGGGTTGTTGGAGTGCAGCTGTTATGCAAGACAGCCTGTGATTGGCACCTCAGACCCAAGCAGAGTTAGAGCTGAAATAGTCAAATATACCTGTTTTGCAAAATATATTCAGCACGTAGTATTCTCTTACCTTTGGTGCAGAATTTGAGGCTGCCTTGCTGTAGGATTCAGGCTTTTTGTTTTCGTTTTGCTGCAGATAGGCACAGTTCCTTTCATACCCTCCGACATTTCACAAGTGAAAATAATGAAAATCTTGCAGTACTGCTATTCTTAAGCTGAGAATTGCTGCTTGAATCCAACCCGATCTGCATGACCTGATGCCTGCAAAGACCTGACCATCTCTTCACCACATTGGTGTATGTCATGGGTAGACAATCTTGTTCGCTCCAAGGGCCAGATCCTTACCCGGATCAGCCCCAAGGACCAAATCTAATGTCCCAACAGCACCAGGTGATTTGCTGCTTCAAAGTCCCCAAAACATCTCACAGGCAGCAAGGTGCTGCTATAGCAAAGGGGGGGGGAACCACTTGTTTTAGCAGCAGTTTCAATGCAAACCCTTTCCTGATTCATTGAATCCTGATGAACTGAATCAGAGTATGCATGTCAAATCCTACTGCATGCAGGGAACCTGCTCATGCAGCCAAACTGAGCAGGATTTAGCCTCTCATCAGCTGACAAGTATGTGTATCTGTTGAAGCCTGCTACTGTATAGTTTCTCATGACAGTCCATGTGGCCTACACAGCCAATGTGGAATTGATTCCCACCCCCTGCCCATCAATTGGCAGGGGCAGACCTTGGTAATATGGCATCCTGTGTGAGGCCAAAATTTGACACCCAGCCCTCATGCCACCTTCCCAAAGGCGCATAAGGGAGGCACCCTTTGGGAAGGGTGGCATGAAGCTCTGGCAGGGTCCTAAGAGTCTTCCTTCCTTCTTCCCAAAGCTGGGCAAGTGCTACTAGGGTTTGGGAAGGAGGAAGGTCCTCTCTAGGACCTTGTCAGAGCTCTCATATCTCCTTTCTGAAGCAAACACATACACTCCTTTGGGAAGGAGACTTGGCCCCTGCGCCCTTTCTGGGGAAACCAGTTGCACTGCCCTAAATCTGCCTCAGCAGATGGCATTATTGAGTGATGTTTGCTGATGGACAGGTGGATGTGGTTGGTGGAAAATGGACTTGTGGGCCAAAGTTGGCTCCCTGGCGGGCAAAGATGGGCCCATGCATTGGAGGTATCAAGTGCATGTCCATCATGCTCACATATCCATGCTTACAGCCTTTCCCTCCATAGCAGGCTGTTTGCCTTGTATGGGGGAAAACCCACACAAGTGTACCAGAGTGAAATGTATTTCTCCTGATTATGTTACTTTCCCCTTTTTCTCTCCCCGCTAGGCACTATTCATTGTAATAAAAAGTAGCCCACAAGGCTTTGGAATGGCTCATTATCAGAAGGAGAGTAGCGGCCACAGAGCTGTGAATACTCCATACTTTGTAAAGGCAGCTTCATGCTGTGGAAATGCTTTTCTATATAAATTAACTTGTTTACAAATTGGACACACACAATTCGGCACACTGGAGGAAGCCATATTAAAAAGGATTAAGCTCAACAGTCCAGGGAATTTATAACCGGCTTGGCAGCCCTGGGTATATTTCATTGAGACAGCCTTCTCAGCTGAATAAATACTATTAGAAAGGTGGGTGGTTGTTGTTTTTTTTACAGGAGACTCTCAAATCCTTTCTTGACATTTAGAACAGCATATCATGATTTGGTAATGTAATCTTCCGACAGAGACACCTCCAAGGGAAATAAATTTGCCTAACTCACTTAACAAATGTGGAATGGGGAGTTCTGCTTGACAATTCTTGCTGCAGTTCAAGGATAGGATCTGATTTGTAAAATGAGAGGCACCACGATTTCTCTCTCCCTATAATACTGTTGTGAGGTGGCTTTTTTGGGTGGGTGGGGTGTAGCATGTGTGCCTGAGCCTCCTTCCTGGATCAAACATGAATTTAATTCCTGGAATAGCTTGCTTCCTAGTGAGGTAATGGCCTATGTATGGGTCATTAAGGTCACAAATGAAGTGCCTCACATGGTTGGCCCTCAACTCCCTCAATGTGCTGGTAATTAGGTAATTAGAAGGGCAAAGCCCAGAGTTGAGTTGGTGTGTGTGTAGTAGAAGCAAGAAGCAGGCTGGGCAACTGAGAGACAGAGCCATGCTGCATCTCTGCCAGAATCCAAGGTTGTGGCAATGGAAGAAACAAGACACTCTTAGGATGTTAAAGCTGCGAGCCCCTCCATCGAAGGTTCAGCTTGTATATATGTGTAAATAAACCACATATCTGAAAGACACTGCGGTCTCTGCTGTCCCTCATTCTGAGGAAGCCAACCCCTGGAACCTCACACTGCTCAGAGACTGGGGTGGTTTGCAACAATACCAGTATCTTCAGTGATCTATCTATGCTTTTTGTACTGTACAGCATCTGTACAGTTTTGCATGGTTTTGTTTTGATTTTATCTGTGCTTTTTTGTATTATTATGCTGTGCATCATCTACATTGACTGGCGGTGGCTGTCCAGGTTTTCAGGAAATGTTATCTCCCCACCCTACCTGGAGATGCCAGAGATTAAACCTGGGACCTTCTGCATGCAATGCTCTGCCACTGAGCTACAGTCCTTTGCTAAATTATCTGGGAAGCTCAGGTCCAGTCACCTGATCTGAAACAGATCTAGGAATGAAGAACACCATCTTAAATGCTGCAGCTTGGTCTTTTGTTACAGTTGTGTGAAAGAGCTTGCCCACATCATTGTATCTGGTGCCAGGATATAGTCTAAGGCTGAAGCTAGGCAGTACTGAATCTGGTCAGTGCCTGAGAACCACCTGCACACTGGCTTGGTTTCCACAGTGAAAGAAAGGCAGGGTATAAAAGGCAGAAAATGCATATGCAATTCTGGATCAAACTCCCTGGTGATCCCTGGAGAATCAAATGACACAGTTCTTGCAGGGCTGTCTAAACCATTTTGCTGCTTGACGAAGAGGACAAGCTGGTCCCTGCTCCCCAAATTCCATGTATCATAGCCAACTTGACCCAAAGCAGTTGACTCTTTTCTCAGTGATGAATGCAGGGTAGGCCAGGTTGCATATACTGCCCCTGTCCTTTTGCCTCTCCTCAGAATGTGCTACCTCGGCCAGCCACACTGAACACTTCTGCATCAAAC